AACAGATGAGTTGGTTTGCTCTGTTTTCTTTTAGCAGAGCATTTACATTTTTCACCAGCAAAACATATGGGAAGATTTGTTCTCAAATCTAAACAGCATACTACAACCATGACTCTGTACGCTCTGAGGGGAACAGGGCACGTACATTACGTATCTCACACATACGATTCTTTTAACAACTCACCACACTATTACTAATTGCTTTTTTTAAAGAAGTCAGACCACTTCATTAAATTCCAACTAAATACACAATAAGACACATTTCTTCTATTTCAAAGCCCATCTCTCCAGAAAATGGTAAGAGCTATGACAACCATCACTAGAATAGGAAGACTTAAAGCAGGAGGCAACACAGTTTTCTAAACCACTAATACAAGATTAAGGAGCACCATCTCAAGAAAAAGCAGAAGCTTTATTACTATCCTCCCCTCTAGATGATTTATTGTATAAGTAACACTTTTTCACTGCAGGGAAAAAAAAATCCTCAGGCTCCACAAAGTCTTAAGTACATCATTAAACATATAAGACAACAGAAAATTGGCACAACTTTCAAATACAGTGACCTGCAATCAAAACTACTGCAAATTACACCTCATTTACTTTTTTATAATCTATACACTACACTGTGGCAGTATATGTTCTTGAAGTGCAGGTAGATGATGAGTGGAAATACAGATGTGAGAAAGATAAACAAGTAATTATTCTACTAACAAATTACACAAGGTACTTTCAGGAATGGCCTTTTAATCAAGGCAAAGATAAAATACTTCCAGCCTTAAAAAAAAAAAAATTAAAAAAAGCAGCCACTAACTTTTGAACATTCTGCTCATTGCAAATGGAAAAGAAATAAAACAAAGCATCAAACTTCTCTAGGATCCCACACACATCTGGCACCCACCTGCTTATGCAAAGACTGGCAATGTAGTGGTGGCTTTTAAATGCATATTTTCCAAATAGTGACAATCCCAAAACAGCGAAGCTTATTTTTCTGATGTTCCAACCCTAAATAACGTCTACAAGTTGACCATTATTTTAGGCTTATCATCCCTGACCTCTCAGTTATTGAAGTTTTTCTGCCTTGGCAGGGGAATTCCATTTTTAAAATTCATACAGAGAAAATGTTTTGGTATAAATCATGGCTATTCTAAGCCAGGAAAATGTTCTGTAGGTCACTAAGCTACCATCTTTTAGGCAAGCTCTCCATAATTAAGGTATCAATTGTAATTTCACAGGCATATTTTATTTTATAAATAAACTCTGTTACCATAATTTGAGCTGTGGGAAAGAACGCCTGCATCAGCGCACCAACCCTTGCAGCACAGCAAGTTTTCAATTGAATGCCAACTCTAAATTTTATAATATGGATTCTAGCAGCGAAAAAATAGGAGGAAGATTTCCCCTTCACCCCTCAAATTCCCACAAGCCTTCTGAATTTTTTTATTCCTGTCACGGCACCTCCCCGACATCTGCTCTTTGCTGCTCTAGAGCCAAATACAACAAATCTAAGTCAATCTGTTGCTAAACACACCAAAAGTGAAAACTGCAGCCTCCATTAAATAGAGTGAAAAGGACATTTCAGTGGGAATGAGCAACAGCTGATTCCGTAGTCTTTTTCTGCTGAACACTGCTTTTGATGCTTTTATCACAGAGTTCAGTATTTGAGTTTGATAGAGACGGAAAGCAAACACAATTTCTAAGACTTGAACCATGCCAAGAGAGAAGTCTGGCAGAGAGACAAGCATGCTTATTTAATTAAGATACCCCCACTGATATTTTTTATGAATTTTTACATACTTTCTGGAACTTGGCTGGATGACACAGAAGGCCAGCATTAGCTCATCTCACCCTCCCTAAATATTTGATTGCCCTAGGTACAGAATAAACTTACATACCGATTTGGATAAAATTACTACAGGAATACTTACTTAATGCATAAGCTGAGGCAAGAGAAAAATCAAAGCTGAACAAAACAATGCCCCACTAGTGGCGAGTCACAAAACCTGCCCTATATAATTTAAAACAACTACCCTACATGATTTCTTTCCAAGTTGATGAGGACCCCAGTGTTACTTCCCAAAACTTCTTCCTCAATGTCCCTACTTACAAGAAAACAATGTAAATCAGTGAATGATCAACAGAATTAGACCTCGTACCTAGTGGTTATTTCACCTAGATATAACCTAACACAGGGAGAGAGAGAAAAAAAAAAAAAAAGTGAGATTTTATAACCCTTTCTCCTGTAAACAAACTAGGGACAAACTTAATTCCTTTACTCCCACCATCAATATATAGTTTTTTAGATGAGCTTTATTACAAATCATAAAGGAAATAAATAATCTTATATAGGACAAAAAGCTGAGTGATTATATTCTTTCAGGAATCTGTGTAAATACACATCTGAGTCTGTGTAAATATTCTTGCACTCTAAATTGTCCAATTTCTATTAGAATTTTACTAAATTAAAATTACCCCTAGACTGCTGATCTCTCTGACTTACCAATTTACTAAAAAATATATCCTTTCTCAAGTTTTCTTTCTCAGTTTGCAGGCCTAATTTCACAGACCATCCCTTCCTCTTACATCATGAACCAGCAGAAAAGCTCTCGAATTACTTTTCTCAAACCACTCATCATTCTGTGTACTTGTGTTATACTTCATCATATTCATTGCCTTTCAAAGGCTAAACAGTCTAACTTTTTTTTTCCAATTCATCTTCATACAAGGAAATTTTGATCCCCACAGACCCCTCTTTTAGCCTTTTCTCTGAATCTCCTTCTCCTCTACACCCTCCTTTTTAGGGGAGGCATCCAGCTCCACATACACTCTGATGGCATGCTATATGACAGTAAGATACTGATTTTTACCATAGCATTTTATTCCCTATGCTATTCTCCATCACACTTCATTTACTCTGACTGTAAATACAAACACATAGAAGTTAACAGCGCTCTCAGAAACAATTCTTAATACCCAGCCTCGTACTTAGAATATGTGACACTATAAACATGTGAAGACTTATCATTTTGAGCCAGGTAGCCTTTGATTTTTTGTCCTTCAGTGTAATTTCTTCCTCACATCTCACCCATTACAGTCTACAAATCTTTGTCACATGCCCATTGGGGTATCTTCCCAGAGAGAAAAATCACTGGTTTACAAGAGAACATAAAAGCAGACTAAGCAAAGGTAATTGCCCTAAACTGCAGGTATGTGGACTTTTCACTTTTAGGCCTTCAGTGAGGTATAAAGTATGCTTTGGTGCAAGAACAAGTCTGTAATGTAATACAGCAAACCTGCCCTTTGAAAAATTAGGGCTTAAATAGAAAACATAACACATGAGAAGGCAAGAACATTCTACATCCACCTACCCTACCAGAACTATGAAAAACATGCAACATCCCTGAATTAACTTACTAAAATATCCTAAAATATGGCATATATTACATTAACCCTTAAAGGGTACATATCCAGGCAAAACTAGACAAGAGTTCCCAAGAAAAAGGTGCAATTCAAAATCTGAAATCACACCTGCCTATTGTTATTCTTCTCTGGAAGCTAAAAAACCCAAGAGAATCAGAAGTCTAAGGTTTGGGGTTTGTTTTTTTCCCAGTCATGAACAGTATTGTAAAGTTTAACTCTGCCATTTAGGGAAAAACATAATAGAGTGACTGACCCAACTCTCTGTCCTTAAACACTCTGATAAAAGAACAAACTATTTGTGAAAATAACAAAAACCAGCTGAAGGCATTTGGGTGGTTTCAATTTCAGTCCTGTAATACGCAACAGTCCCTTCTTTCTAAATCCAACACCAATCTGCTTTTCTTCTTCAGTAAAGCCTCAAAACATGTTGATAACAAAAGCTGAAAAAAAAACACTGAACATTAATATTACCAATCTAGGACATTTTATTAGTATTCTGATAACTTCAAAGCATTTGACTCATCATACACAAAGTACTCTCACATACACAACAGAACGATGCAGGTTTTTAGAGACTGATCCTTTTTTATTCCCTAACAGCATTTTGAGGGTTTGCATACTTTTACCTTTAGGATGGTGTAATAATTAGCAGTGAATCATGCTGGATATTTAACCTTTGCGGCCTTGCTTTGTAAAAACATGTATCTACCTTATTTCTTTACCACCCTGTTTTGAGCCGAGCAAGACCAAGAACTGCCAGAATCTCATGTCTTGGTGTACGTAGCACTACTTGATTGAAACATCAGCCAGATATAAATCTTGAGATCCCAGGCACTCACAGAAAACTGGCAGACTATAACTTCACTCTGGGAGGCTAACCAGCCAATGACGGACAAAAACCCAACCAAAATTAAATTTTGTATCATTACTATTTAAAATCACTGGCACACAAAAGACTAACGTATATTCAAAACTACATGTCAGTAACAAGAACATCCCTGTTTTCTATGGCTCATACAAAAGAACCACAAACATATATATAAGAAAAGTGAAGTGGTAAAGAAGTATGGGTACAACAGAAATTACAGTGGTCTAAGCTGTAATTTGTCACCATGCATCATTTTCAGAACACTGTCCCTAGGGAAAAGTTCTTAGAAGAATAGAGTCCCTTGCAACTGTCCCTTACAACAGATGAATAATGCACCAAAAAGTAAGACAAGCCACCTTTAGGGGGTTGTTTGCTGTGATTTTTGTTTTTTGGGACAGGTAAAGCCATTAAATACTTCCTACAGTTAGTTCAACCTGCAGTTACTGATAACAAAGGGCTTCACGTGGTAGACTGAGTACGAAAACTTTGCTCTGACTCATCTGTCAGCCAAACTCAAACAGCAAAAATTCTCCATGAAACTATAACCCAAAAGGCACCTAATATCCCAAACCGATTTCAGTGATAGGTCCTAGTAGGTCTGGCAGGAGTAGTTTCTTTCCCCCACTACTCCTATACCTATCAAATAAATTTTATGTGCTGCCTTTCCACCTCTTTTGCACTTGGATCTTCTAGCAAACTGTAAGAATACTCCTACCTTCCAGCTTCTTCAGTGACTTCCTGTGATGGAGATATTTCAGCAGGGCTGGGATAAATCCAGCTTCAAAGCTCACCTCAGCACATGACCTCTTCTTGGCATTAACCATGATACGTTCTCTAAACCAACAATCCTGGCCTTAGACTTTCTGGTGGAAAAAAAAAAAAAATAGCCAAAGAAGAACAATAAAGGGCTAAGCCACAGAACTAAATGACTGGACACATACACAGAAATTAATATCATATAGCAGCCTCTAAAAGTCCCACTTTAATAAATATATAAATATGTTAATTACTCAGTACTGCATAATTTTACTCTTTATATGGTCCCATGAAAAAAGCCCTCAACATGCTGCAAAAACAAAAAAAGCTTTTTGTTTTTTCTAAAAAACAGCTTAACCACAAATGAATTAACCGCAATGCATTACAAGTCTGAAAGATGCATCAAGCTACCTATTATATTCTTTCTTTTCCATTTAATCAATAGTTGAAAGTATACTGACAGCTCAATACTGAGCCTGTTTGGTATCAGGACACCAGCTATCAGGCTAGCTTCAGGCAAAGCTTTCAGTACTGTATACCCTTCAAAAATACGCAAGAAAGAATCAATGATAACAAGAATAGTTCACAGTTTAGGTGAGGACTAAAGTGGTAAAGTGGTAAAAGACTGAAGTGACAAACCAAAGATAGATTCTCCTTAATTTATGCAGTTTGGCATCCTTGTTTCATACACACAAAGTACAGTTCCACTACAGTTAGGTTCATGGTGTTTTGATTACATTTTTGATATTAACTAGGAAGAATTATCAGATTAAGATGTATGACTCTACAACTGTGATAACATTTCCTACAACATTTAATTACACTATAAATACCCATTAAATCAGTCCTTTAAATAAATAATGCTTGAATACTACCTAAACTAGGTTTAATCAGCTTATTAAGGACAAACCAGTACCTGCAAATATAGTACTATAAGTCAAACACACTTAAGTAGCAAATATGACATGAAGAACAGCATGACTTCTAGCCAGCTCTTCTGTGTGTTTTCATGAAAGGTGACAAGACCAGCAGTAACAGAGAGTCAATACAATACAAAGAAGAAAGCATTCTCCAAATGCCATTTTAAGCTGAGGGTAAGAACCTTTTTGTTAGACCAGCAAGAAAAAACATGGAATCAAAAAATTTATCACAACTTTTTGTTTTCAAAGTTAAAAAAAATATCATTAAATGTCTACATACTATTTTTAATCGTTACATTGTGAAGTAGTTTGCATTTCATTCAACTTTGGTAAGAATGTGTAAATACACTTCATGAGAAAGTGCCAAATTATTATTCAAGTACTGCTGCTCTCTTATCTGCCAATGTTAGTCTTGTAAAAATGCATCTTTTAAAATGCATGTTTTAAATTTTGTTTAAAAAGATCTTTTTATGTAAAAACATGTTATGGATCTCTGTAAGTGAATTACAATGATAACTTGAAGCAATAAGTCTAAGCAAATAAGGACAAAATCTTGACTGCAAATGAGGATAAGCATAAAACATCTCCTACTGCTGCTGAACACTAATATCTTTCTTGGAAATTCTGAAAATACCGTTTCATTGTTTCAACATTCCATTGGAATATATCCCCACTGGAATATACCCTGTATGACTCTACAGAATTTAAAACAAACCAACCAACAATCAGCAACTCAAACATAAAGACAAAAACTCTCTATATAAGGGAAGCACCTAGATGGCAACTGAATCTTTTCCTTCCTTGACTACATTTAACCAGAATCCTGAAAACAGGTTCTGAAACACCGTGGTAATTCCTCAGTCCAGTTTTACAAAAGCAACAGCATACAAACCTTAGGGAAAGAACACATGGAAACGTTTCCATTAAAGGATACAAAGTTAAAGCATATCAGATACCTAAGGCTGTCTGCACCTACTCATGTAACCTGTACTGAACATGTAGCAGTTTATCACAATTGAAAGCAAGTAAACTACCTGTATCTACCACTGGGAAGAACCCCAAGCTTATCACATGTAATTTCTTTGTGTTCAGACAAAGAATCAAAAATTAAAACAATCTCTGAAGATATAAACCATATTCTTTCAACATACCCACCTTAGGCATCCTGCTGCTGCTATGGCAAAGAAAGTATTTCATCCATCTTAATTCCTATTAAAAGGAGAACAAAAAACAGTTAGTTGCAGTATCTCAGGATATGTATTAAGCAAAAGACTAAAAATCATACTAAACAAAAAGCACAGGCATACATTTTAGAAAATGGTAAATAAAAAAGAATTCTACTAAAACATGTTTACCCTCAATACAATGACATCTCCTCTGAGGCTCACCATACATTAACAGTACTTGAGATTACAAATTGCAATAATAAATATCTGAATAAATATTGCTAAAATAAATGATAAAGTTCACACATTCCTGATTTTACCACATACTTTTAAAACTCTGTAAGTTTCTATTATTGCAACGGCAGTAATATTTTCAGCCAGTTCCAAATAAAAGTACTTTCAGCATTTGACCGAACAACACCTACCTCATTAGGTACAAATAAATACATGAAACCATCACCAGCTTCATACAGACATTTAAAATATTAAACCACTTCCACAAATCAAGTATTACCTCTGCACATAAAAATCCCTGAAACACCACAAGTCACAGATGAAGAACACTGCTTTCGTCTCATGCAGCACCACTGAACCTGTACACCAAGAACATGACATTCACTACATATATCTGAAGTTTCATGTGAGAAAGTCAGAAATACCTCACCATATGGTGTCACTGCCATTGCTAGTTCTGATATTCTCCCAAATGAGAAGTTCAGGATACATAGGAAACTAGTATTTCCTTCATGAATTACTTGAAAAACATTTTAACTACAAAATTTCAGTTACCCCACAATCTATTACTTTAACAGCCTGCCTCAAAGTTAAAAATACCTGAACCATACCACAGTGCTAGTTTTCTTCCGATCCTCCAGTTATCATTACCCAAGCACATTTTTTTAAACACTAAGAACATCATATCAGAGCATCACAAAAAATGTATTTTAAACATACTCAAGTTTTTGACAAACTTTAAGTTTGAAAAAAATCCAATTCTAGCTACTGAAGCAGAAAAAAAATATGTATTTGCATAAAAATAACTTAAAAATTAACTTAAACTAGTACTAAAAGTAACTAACTACAATATTTGTAGTTAGATACAAATGATAGACAAAGAAAAAAAAAAAAAGGCAGCTCAATATTTGTGTTGTCAAATGGCCCTGTGAAAAAAAAAAACAACAAAAAAACTGCACATAGAAACTACCATGACCCAAGGGAGATGTGTATTTACCTTATGCTATCCTCCTCTTTTTATTATGGAATAATAATACGAAAAATACTTTTCAGTGGCGTATTACAGGTTCAAATAAATCTGTACAAGCAAATTCAAGACAATAATTTCTAAACTGCATGGCATTTAAGGGCTAAACTGTTGACTGAGACTTCAACACACATTAAAAAGCTTCAATGAAATATCCTTAACCTGGGGAAAAGAAATGAACTGAGCACAAGACAGTATGAAATGAAATGCAAGACTGACAATAAAAGGTAAGATGCATCACACCCATTTTAGTTCAGTCATAGACCTAGGTAAGGCTTTTATTAAAGCATGACTTTTGGACAAAATAAACCAGCCAACTGCTCGCATTGTTTCAAACCCACCACACTGCAGGCACTACCACAGTCATTCCAAAACTCTCTCAGGCTGCTTTCAAACACTTCCTTTCTTATTTTGCCAAAGCCAGCCACATCAGATCACTGAAAACTTGGGATATGTTCTTAATTTCATTATTATCAATATAAAAAGTTCTAATTCACAGGCCAGCAGGTCTCAGCACCAGTTATGCACAATCACTATTCCTATGGCTCCATCTCTGCAGACACAGAACAAATGAAAACCCTTTGGCTCTCGGGTTCCTTCCAAAACCTGAGGAGCCTTAGAAGTGCACATCGTATTTGTCCTTTTACAGAAGCAGCAGCGAGGTTTCAGAGGTTTCTCTGTGCACAGCTCTGACTCATGCTGGCGGGGGGGGTTTACACAGGCCACATACTTCCACATTTCGGCATCACAAAACAGGAGGGCATCTGCTGCATCCCTGATAACGCACATTTCATGGCCACGTGTACTATAAGAAGTGGAAGCGAACTGTAAAAGAAGTAATCTCGGTGACTTGTAAAAACCAGTAATCAACAGCCTTTCTGTAGATCTTTATTGTCACATCACATTTGACAGACACAGCCACACTCTCCAGCTTCTGTGTTGGCAGAAGCAGGCACCACCTGAACAGGAGGAGCGCCAGGTGTCTGCGTTAGCACCGTAACGTACAGCGTCGGCAGCAGCCTCCACCGAGCCCTGCGGCCGCCGGGCAGGCCGCGCAACGCCGCTCTCGGACTCCGGCTGTGGCTGTCGGGACGACCAGGCCCCGCACGCACCTCGTCCCGCACCGTTGCAGGGGGCAACCCACGCTCCACAGGCCGGGGACGCGGCTGACCTGCGGGCTCGGGACCTGCTTTTCCGCGATCGGGGGAGTCAACGGCCTCGGAGCCCCAGCTGCGGCAGGCCCCGGGGGGGACCCACTCGGGCCTTCACCCACCCCGGGCCGCGGCCCCCACCGCCGCGGGGGAAGGGAACTTACGAACGCGCCCTTCTGCGTGCCTGCGTCACGCCTCCAAACGTCACAGCGACGACGCGGCCTGGCGTCACACCCCAAGGGAAGGCCGTGTGCGCTGGGAAGCCTGAGCCCCTTCGGGCCTGCGCGCAGGCGCAGTGCCGCCGCTGGGTGTTGGCGGGAAGGTAGCGGCCGATGCTGAAGTGGTTGCACTTACGGCTGCGTCCGGGCCTCAGCTCCTGCCGTCCCTGGGACACTGTGCTACATGGGTGACTCTCTGGGCACCGCTGTGCTGGGAGTGAGGCCTTCCCTTCCCTTCCCAGCTAGCCATCAGCTCCCAGTCGGCCCCAGAAGAGACTGTAACCATGCTGCGGCTTAGGGGCAGTGCGATTGGGGATTGCAGGCAGGCAGGTAGGTTAGAAAAAGGAGTTTTTGGAAAGTACAAGAGTTCTGGGGCATGGATATGAGTGACCTGCAAGCACTGGGCCAAAGGTGAGCACAGCTGTCTGAACGTGAGCTGGCAGTGTGCCCAGGTGTGTGTCTCTCTCCTTTCCCAAGTTACAAGTGATAGGACAAGAGGAAATGGCTTCAAATTGCATGTGGGAGGCTTAAGTTAGATATTGGGAACAATTTCTTCCCCAAAAGTGTTGTAAAGTATTGGAACCATCTGCCCAGGGAAGTGATGGAGTCACCATCCCTGGAGGTATTTAAAAGATGTGTTGGCGTGCTTAGGGACATGGTTTAGTGGTGGACTTGGCAGTGCTAGGTTATTGGGTGGACTCGATACTAAGGATCTTTTCCAACCTCAGTGATTCTATGAAAGAGGAAAAATTAAAGTGTGATATGGGATAATACAGGTTTTAAGGGAAGGCTGAAGGGCGAAACGAGTTAGGGAGTTGAGAAGGTGCTGAAGAATGAAGGCAAGTGTAAAATACATGAGTAAAAAGAAGGGAAACATAACATTCAGAAAATAAATCAAAAAAGCAAGCTCTCTTTTTCTTCTAACCATCTGAGAAGAAATTTTCTTGTGGAGAAGAAAATTACTTTGCCTGCATGACTTCAAGGATTATTGGGCATTGGGGCTGCCTCCTTTTTCAGTGTCATCCTGTGATGCAGGGCTATCTCCATCTTCAAAACCTTTTTGTGTGTGTGCTCAGCCAGGACACTTATCTCCTGTAAGCCTGCACTTAGCACAGCTGTTATGTTGTGCCATAGCCTTTTGCTGGATAAAGGGGGTATCAGGGACCCCCCAGCCACTGCTGGAACAAAGAATCTGTGAGGCAGCCTTGGCACAGTGCCTGGAAAGTGGGAGCAAGGGAAAGGGGGGAAATGGGGTTTGGCGAAACATTTAATTCTGATGCTTTTTGCTATCGTGCTTACATTCATGAGCCTGCGGTGCTATAATGTCCGCAGGCACCAAAAATGGAAAAAAGGAAAGGGTCAGTGTTGGAGAATGTGCAAGGAATATGTAATTCCTTCCAATATCCACATTTCTCTGTATGTACCTTATGCTGAAATTTGAACTGTGTAGGCTTACACAGTATGCTGACAATTAAAAATATATTTAAAATATATGTGCCATTTTCTGAAAATCTGTTTCTGCAGCTCCCTGCAGAGTTACATCTAAAGCAGATATTCTGAGTCTTTGGCCCTGAAAACTGTTTTTCTAGCATAGGCAAACAATAAAAAGAAATTAAAAGGCTTTTTTGAACTCTGATTTCATTAAAATCTGACTTACATTAATTAGAATTAGTTATTTTGAACATAAAAACAACTTTATGAGTTCAGAAATTTCATCTCTGCAAATGGAATGTGTGGTGATAAAGTAGGCAGACTGGCTCAGAGCCATTTCAGATCCAAGGTACATTTATGATATGATACTGTTCTTCAGTCGTGGGTTCCAGTTGGAGGTTCTGTATCTGAAATAACTGTTCTTGTGCTTTAGAAAATTTCATTTAAAAGTAATTTACAGTTTCAACAGGAACTGTTTAAAATAAATATTCTTCACCTTTCTGTGCTTACTAAAGCTGAACTGTTCTGTGGTTCAGAACCTATAAAATACAATGAATTTGAAGGTAAACGCTCCAAATGGTCTTAAATAATTATAATTCCCTTTTGAAGTCATACAAGTCTTGACTTTTGCTAAGCAAAACTATTCCTAGACATCCTTGTCTCTAAATTGGAGAGACATCAATTTGACGGATGGACCACTCGGTGGATAAAGAACTGACTGGACGGCCGCACACAAAGAGTTGTGGTCAATGGCTCAATGTCCAGGTGGAGATCAGTAACGAGTGGTGTCCCTCAGGGATCGGTGTTGGGACCAGTCTGGTTCAACATCTTTGTCGCTGACGTGGACAGTGGGATTGAGTGCGCCCTCAGCAAATTTGCCGATGACACCAAGCTGTGTGGTTCAGTTGATACCCTGGAGGGAAGGAATGCCATCCAGAGGGACATCGACACACTTGTGAGGTGGGCTGATGCCAACCTCATGAAGTTTAACCATGCCAAGTGCAAGGTCCTACACCTGGGTCAGAGCAATGCCAGGCACAGCTACAGGTTGGGCAGAGAAGAGATTCAGAGCAGCCCTGTGGAGAAGGACTTGGGGTGTTGGTCGATGAGAAAATGAACATGGGCCGTCAGTGTGCTCTTGCAGCCCAGAAGGGCAACCGTATCCTGGTCTGGATCCAAAGGAGCGTGACCAGCAGGTCAAAGGAGATGATCCTGCCCCTCTACTCTGCTCTTGTGAGACCTAACCTGGAGTATTGTGTACAGTTCTGGTGTCCTCAACATAAAAAGGACATGGAACTGTTGGAACAAGTCCAGAGGAGGGCCACAAGGATGATCAGGGGACTGGAGCACCTCCCATATGAAGACAGGCTGAGAAAGTTGGGGCTGTTCATCCTGGAGAAGAGAAGGCTGCATGGAGACCTCATAGCATCCTTCCAGTATCTGAAGGGGGCTATAGGGATGCTGGAGAGGGACTCTTCATTAGAGACTGTAGTGATAGGACAAGGGGTAACAGGTTAAAACTTAAACAGGGGAAGTTTAGATTGGATATAAGGAGGAAATTCTTTCCTCTTAGGGTGGTGAGGGACTGGAATGGGTTGCCCAGGGAAGTTGTGAATGCTCCATCCCTGGCAGTGTTCAAGACCAGGTTGGACGAGGCCTTGGGTGATATGATTTAGCGTAAGGTGTCCCTGCCCACGGCAGGGGTGTTGGAACTAGATGATCTTAAGGTCCTTTCCAACCCTAACTATTCTATGATTCAGTATGTATACTGCCTTTCTGAGCCACAAATGATGCATAATTGCCATACAGTGGTTCCTGATGTATTACATGCCTCTTCAAGAGACACAAAATATTAATTCTGATGTGCAAATGTGTTTGTGCCTTTACCAGCTATTAGTTTTCATTTAAAAATACAATAATATACTATGATGAATTTATCTGTTGCTTGTGAAAAAGAGATTGGATGGCAATGTAACCTTCCATTATAGACTGTTTTCCGTATTCACAGAAAAGATCAGTTGTTTCTAGTAGAGAGTATATAAATTTTCCTCAAACCTCACTTCATGATAAACTGTAACAACTTTGTAGCAGAGTTAATGTAAGGCTGGGATATCAAATTTTAAAACAATACTGAGAAAAATAATGCATTGTGACTTGCTGAAGATAGTATTTTGCTTGGAGTATTGCCTCAGCATCCTTGGTTATGATATTCTGAAAAACTTTTCCTTGAATTTGTATGGAGAATTGCACCAGCAATCTCAATTCTATTTACGGGCACTTACGAATGAGTTATTCTTAAAAGCAAAGTAATGGAATGTTTTTATAATTAGAATTGAAAGTAAACAGAACTTAGTAACCAATGAACAGTACATTTAAAAAAAAAAAAGCAAGCTATGATACCTGATGAAGATACCCCTTTTTCTTTTTACGTCCCACAGTAGACAAAAATACTGTTTTAAAGATAGTGTTGGTAATAATTTAGGCTAAATATTATGTAGAGAACGTTCTTTCTCCATCCTCTGTAAAAGAGTAGTAGTGGATTGTCACATAGAGTATACTGAAGAGTATACCTACACAATTAAGATTTTTATTATGTGCAGTATTAGTGTGCACTACTTATAATTAGTATGAGTAGTTTAGGATAATAAACTGGCTAAGAAAATTTTATAGTATTAAAGGCCACATTAATTTTTTCATATTTAGCAATTTAGCACATTTTCGGAATTAAATCAGTAAAGGTGTTTGCACAGTAATGCTTATGCCATGCACAAATAGAAATGCCAATACGTTGTAGTAAAGGGGTGAACCACAGTCTTCTGTAGTGCTTTGAGCTGAGGTCTTTATGGGGCATCTTGAACAGACA